ATCTGGAAAGGGCTCTGAGGAGCTGTGCTATGATGGATGAAGTTGTCACTTGAGTTCTTTCTCAGAGAGGTGGAGGGTGAAAAAGACCCAGACGTTGGGGATGGATGCCTGGTTTTGAGTTATAGTTCTGCCACTTTGGAACCAAGCGATTTCAGGCAGGTCACTCATCCTTCCTTGATTTTTTCATCTGTGAAATGGGTTGTCGAGGGTCTCAAAAGATAGGATGTAGAATAAAAGTGTTTTCAAACTGTAAGGCGCTGTATAAATGTTTCTCCTTAGTTTCCTGCTGGATTACTCCCCTTCAGGTACCTCTTACCTTCCACATGGTCTGACTTTTTTGATAGGATCCTAGTCATTTATTCATACTGGTGCTTATAGTCACAACTGAAATTTATTGAATGCGTATCCTACATACTTTATCCCAGCTCCTTCCCTTAATTTTTCGGAACCTCAGTTTCCTTATCTGTAAAATGGGAATAATACTAGCACCCACCTTACTATCCATGTGGGGATTAAATCAACTGATTTAACATGTATCTAACATATTTAGTAAGTGCTCAAACAAGTGTTGGAATCATACACACAGTGTTCTCCCACTTAACTTTCCCTATGAAATAAGTACTGTAGTATTATCCCTATTTGACAGATGAAGCCTTTGGGGTTGAGAGAGGTAAGTGCCTTAGGTGACCCAGCTAATGATTTGCAGAACCAGGATTCAATCTGAAGCCAGCGTTCTGTCTACCATGGACCTGTTAGTGGGATAGGCTGTAGGCAGGTAGCATAAATTAGGAAATTTGGTACCCAGGAAGATTCAGTTCAAGTCAGCAAACATTCAGGTGAAGGCAAAGACACAAATCACAGAACTTTATAGTGTTAATTTATAATATTAACCACTAATCCTACTTCTTCCTGGTACAACACCCTTGTCTCCCCCAGGTCTCCCGCTGGTCTCTCCCACTCTTCCATCTGACCTCTCCCTGCCTTCCCTGGGAGGGACCTAAGTGCCCGTCCATTGCTCAGCTCTTCTGAGTCATGATTGCCATAGGTCTTTGTACGTTAATGCCACCTTCCTTCATCATCTGTCATGTCAGTGGCCACACGTTACACAGGTGCACATTACTTTGTTGGTGTCACCCATCGTGTATAGGTGCCGGGCATATTATTTGATAGCAGAATAAAACCTACTCCACCCTTATGCTGAAAGTTCCCTGAGGGCGGAGGTCAAATCTCTTACTCTTGGTGGTTTTTTTTTTTTTTTTTTTTTTAAGATTTTATTTGTTGATTTGACAGAGAGAGACACAACGAGAGAGTAAGCACAAGCAGGGGGAGAGGGAGAGGGAGAAGCAGACTCCCCAGTGAGCAGGGAGCCTGATGCAGGGCTCGATCCTAGGACTCTGGGATCATGACCTGAGCCAAAGGCACACTTAACGACTGAACCACCCAGGCGCCCCTCTTACTCTGTTTGTAATCCCTCCTCTCCCACGAGAGAAAACGACGTCTGCATCTAGCACTCCTCTAAAGAAGGAAGTGGTGTGGCCTTCAGGTGTAGTAGATGCCAATTAGGAGAGCAGGCAGGATTCCAAATGGGTGGGTGAAGCCAGAGGCTCCTAAGAGTGCCAGAGGAAGGCTAAGTATAGCGTCCGTTTGAATAACACATTTTGCTTTTCAAATTAATCTTGTACTTTTTCATGAGCATGACCCCCTATGAAGCTATCCCTGCTCTCAAGGTCCACACAGAGGGGCCTGACTTATCTCTGGTAATGGTGAAACCTAACACAGAGGTTATGTGTCTGGAGATGCCAGCGGGAACAGCATAACCAGACTTTGTTCTCATTTGCCCTTCAGACCAAGCCAGTGGAGGAAGCATTGACTGGTCATATGACTATGGCATCAAATACTCATTTGCTTTTGAACTGAGAGACACCGGTCGATATGGCTTCCTCCTGCCGGCCAGTCAGATCTTGCCCACAGCCGAAGAGACCTGGCTTGGCTTGAAGACGATCATGGAGCATGTGCGGGACCATCCCTATTAGGGCTCTGGGGAGTAAACACCATTAAAAGCTCTTTGGTTTGAAGCAGAGTTGGGTTGTGATTATTCCATTTTCTAACCCTGATCTTGGAGGACTATTTCTCTGATTTATGTTGCCCTAAAACATAACAAGCCACTGAGCTGTACCCCTTCATCTTTAAAAACCACGAACAAAACCCATCCTGAGCAAAAAGGCTCCCAACATCATTTAAAAATTAAAAAAAAAATTGTGGTAAAATATGCATATCATAAGATTGAGCATTTTCACCATTTTTAAGTGCACAATTCAGTGGCATTTGTACATTCATAAGGTTGTGCAATGATGACCATCATCCATCTCTGGAAATTTCTCATTATCCCAAACTGAAACTCTGTACCCATTCAGCAGTAACTCCCCATTCTCCCTCCCCACAACCCCCAGAAACCCCCGTTCTACTTTGGGTCTCTGTGAATTTGTCTATTCCAGGTACCTTATATAGATGGAATCAGATAGTATCTTGTCCTTTTGTGACTGGCTTATTTTACTTAACAGAATGTCCTCAAGTTTCATCCATGTTGTGGCATGTGTTGGCCCCTTCACCTTTTTTTTTTTTTTTAAGATTTTATTTATTGGGGCACCTGGGTGGCTCAGTGGGTTAAAGCCTCTGCCTTCCACTCAGGTCATGATCTCAGGGTCCTGGGATTGAGCCCTGCATGGGGCTCTCTGCTCTGCGGGGAGCCTGCTTCTCCCTCTCTCTGCCTACTTCTCTGCCTACTTGTGATCTCTCTCTGTCAAATAAATATATAAATGAAATCTTAAAAAAAAAAAGATTTTATTTATTTATTTGACACAGAGAGATAGAGAGAGAGAGTACAAGCAAGGTGAGTGGCAGGGAGCGGGAGAAGCAGGCTCCCACAAAGTAGGAAGCCTGACGTGGGGCTCTATTCCAGGAACCTGGGATCATGACCTGAGCTGAAGGCATGTGCTTAACTGACTGAGCCATCCAGGCACCCCGCCCCTTCACCTTAACAGAGTAACATTTTAGAGCTAGCAAGTGACTTTCAAGTTTCTTTTTTCTTTTTTTTTTATGATTTTATTTATTCATTTGAGAGAGAGCATGAGAGAGAAAATGAGACCTGAGAAAGTCAGAGGGAGAAGCAGACTCCCCATGGAGCTGAGAGCCCGATGCGGGACTTGATCCCTGGACTCCAGCATCATGACCTGACCTGAAGGCAGTCGCCCAACCAACTGAGCCACCCAGGCACCCTCGAGTTTCTTTATTCAATAAATACTAATTAAACAACTACATCGTGCCATACATTATCCTAGGTACTTACGTATTCTCTGGTCCCATTGTTGCCTTTGGCTTTTTCCCATTTCCAGTATGCTGCGTTATAAAAACTAGTTGGGACCCAAACCAATGACACTCGTTCCTCTTGGTTGCCCCATCAAACCTGGGTCTCAGATTCTACATAACTTCTTTTTAGACATTTACTTCCATTAGGGATTGACATTTTCTTCCTCTTGATGGTTTTCTATGGGAAAAGAAGGTGGGAAGTGAATGCCAGCTTGCCTAGAATTCTGGGTACTTGATTCTTTAGTTCGCATTTCTTGCAGATTCGGCTCCCATCTTTTCTTGTTACTAATTTCAAAGCTGAAATCGATCTTGGATATCCATTGTTAGGGACCAGGGCGTGCGTAGGAGTTCAGTTTCAGTGCTGCAAGGATGAAAAAGTCCTGATAAAGCCCCCAGCTCTATGATTCCTTACAAAGACTCTCCTTGACTCAAACTTACTTGGACTTCTCTGAGCCCTTTTTTGGACTAGGCCTTGTCCTTGGGCCCTGTCTAAGTCAGTCTTAGCAAAGAATCCTAAGTCATCCCCCAGTCCTTGATATCAAATTGAATTCCTCATCTTCCACCTTTGATGACTAAGTTCTTGGTCTGCCTTTGGTAAGAACCCTGTGAGTCCAGTTAAACAAGAAGCCCCCTACCCTTGATGTTTTCCCTTAGCAGTATTCCATCCACTGACCCCTCACTCTGCTGTCTTCACTAAACTTGGAATTGAACACAATTACTCTCCTGTTGCATGAACCCTATTGTAATAATAAATGAATAAAGTCTTCCTTACAGTTTTAATAAGTATCAGAAAAATTTTTCTTTAGCACCGCTGACAATGACCTTTGGTTGTATCCACTCTGCCTTGAGCAAGAGCAGAAAGAATGATGTAGACCATGGGGACAATGGGATGGGGGAGGCTTTCATTTTGGGGCTCTGAATTTGAGGATTTGGAGCTCTCAGAACAGATTCGAAGGGCTTAGAATCCCTGAAGAAGTTGTGGAGATTATGAGTACCTTTCATTTATTCTCATGTGATTTGGTGGAAAGGATACCAGATTCAGAGTCTAGCAAATGTAAGAAAGTCTCATTATTAATAATACCATTAAGCCTTACCTTTACTCAGACTGCAAGGAAAACTGATATTTTATCCAGACTAAGCTTCTTCCTATCCCACTGACCTCATGTATTTCTACTTTTTTAGTGGGGTCTTAAGAGTTAGATGTCAGATTCCTAACAGAGGTCACAAACCCTCATCATCATGGTGAAATTCTCTGACAGGTCTTATCAAGTCTTCACTTTATTTATTTTTTTAACTCTAGAGGTAACCTCATTTAGGGTTTAGAATTTGGCCTCTCCTATCAGTATAAATTCTTTCCAGCACTGTTGGGACTTCCCTATTTACTGAAAAAACACTATTTAAATACCAAATGATGAGCAATATGGTGCCCTTGACACAGACTTTTCCAGCCTGAGGATCAAGTTCCTGGCCTTGTAAATCAAGAGGCCTTTATCACTCAAAAGGAATGGAAGAGGCATTGGTAGGGGCCCGCCTGATGTACCATCACGGTTGCAAGGGTGCTTGGGAATCACATTAGCATTTTTGGGGACATGAGTCTGCCTCAGACTTCTTATAAATACAGCTTGACTCAGCCACTCTATGACTGACAGCCTTGGGACTGACACCCTTGGGACATGAAGTGGATATTGTTCTTTGGGGCCCTTATTGGGCTCAGCGTCTGTGGCCGAGAAAAGTTTTCTGGGTAAGTTCCTTTTGGATTTATTATTAGTTGGTTGGTTCAGTGCTATGGGAACCAAATGGATTTGAAAATGATGGGCTGGTTATATCTCCAGTGGAGTTGCCATTGGAAAAGAAGACATGAGCTCGTGGCCCAGTTCTGCCCTGTGTCATCCCGGGCAAGTTCCTTCTTTGTCAGGTTCAGTCATGCCTATGAAATCGGGACCAGGTGGCCTCCGCAGTCCCTCCCTGGCTCCCCTAATCTCCTGCCAATTCTTTTCCTTCCCAGTTCTTATTTCTAAGGTCAGTTCCAGGCCTCTTTTACTTTTTCACTTCTCTATTATGAAGTACCAAGAACTACCAGCAATTGTTCAATTTCTGCCGTGCTTAGGGGAAAACCTGGGTCTTTGACTTTTTGGTGTCACCTCTCCGTTAGCGGGTAAGGCTTTGTAGACCTGGGGCTTTCTCGTCAGCATCTGGGACACGGAGATTTGCTAGCTCTCGCCTAGCCACAGTGGTGAGAATTGGGATGAAAGGTTACAGCCGGATTGTGTGTGCGTGCATGTGCGTGTGTGTGCGTGCGTGTGTGTGGGTGTGCGTGCATATGTACATACATGCTCAACACGGTCCGTGCGGAATGCTTTGTGGTCTGCAGAGGAGAGGACATTTGGGCGGTAGGATAGATGAAAGGATGCTGTGGTCCCCTGCTGGAAGACTGAATTCGAATAACTCATTACTGCCTAATGCTTTGCCATTTGCAAAGAGCTTTCATGTGCATTATCTTTTGGGTCTCGCAACAACTCCGCCAGGCGGGGGTGTTATTTTCCTCAATTTAAACATGAAGAAAACTCAGCCTCAGAAAGGTTAAGGAACCTGCTCAAGCCCACTTAACTGGTAAGCAGGGGAGAATCGTCTATCTCACAGAGATATCTCTATCTGTTCGTCTACTCTTTCATATGCTAGCTGGCTAAAGGGACTTGGGGTTTGTTTATTGAGGTAATTACTTATATGAGATTGAGTAATTTTTATGGTGATGACTTCTTTTCACACCTGGTGTCTACTGTCGAATAGCTCAGAGGGCTTAGGCATAGCAGGTGGCCAGAGAAGCTTTTTCCACCGTGTAATGACTATGCTCGCTGCCGTGTGGGCTGAAGCATGGAGCTGTCAGGCTCTCGCTGCAGCTATTCACATGGCCGGAAAAATCTTTATTTCTCAGGATACAGACTTTACTTACCATGTGGTGGACGCCCCAGTTGAGACAGCAGGGCCTGGTGCTGGAGTGCCCACCGTGGGAGTGGAGCTTACACAGAAAGGGCTGTGTGCACGAGCTAATTGCAGACAGTGTCGTCCTCATCCCAAAATCTGTTCTCACCTTGTCGTGGGGACCCAGGAAGGGTGGTGGGATCCTTCCAAGCGCTCAGAGACATGGCCCTCACACCCAGCTCAGTGACCGTTTTCTAGCAAGGGGAAGCTGGCCTCTATGAGAATTCAAGTGGTGGGAAGCCAGAACACTGGTTGGCTAGGAGGAGGGACAGTACCGGTGGTGATGAAGATGATGGGGTTTCTCCCCTACCCTCACCACCCCCCTCCCCAGCTTTTGTTCCTTCCGTTTAATGCCCCACTGCCCCCAGTGTCTCATTCTGCTGGTATCTTCTGTCCTGCCCTTTGGTCATCTTGAGGATGGGACGGCGGCCAGGATGCCTAGAGGTGCAGGACAGACAGCGTACAGGAATGTAGTTGCCGAACCAGTTGGAGCATTGGCAGTAGCTGGCAGGCAGCTACGGGTTCCGTGAAATCAACTTTTGTGGTGGCTGGGGGTATGGGTGAGAAAGGCACAAAGGACAGGCGCTTGGCTTGTGTGCGTGGAACTGACGCAGGCATAGAAGCTCGGCACCAGCGGGGCTGTTGGCTGTCAGAATGTGGGATGAGTGGGAGGGTGAGCGAGAGGAAAGCATCCGTCACTCCGCTGGTAGCAGCTGGATGGCGGCAGGTGTGGGAGAGGCTGGAATGAACACATCATAAGAGCACCTGTGTGGAGTCACAGGGGTCAACACGGCAACTTGCGAATTCCAACATATCCCCTCTCCCAGACCCATCTTCCATTTTCAGGGAGTTTGAGCTCTTTGAATGGATTTCCAGACCACAGAGATAGGTTGTGTTCAGCTATCGGAACTCTCAGGACCGGGAAAGAGCATTTTTCAGATAGAGACAAGGACGATTAGAAAATAGCTGGCCTTCACTGGACACCTCCTTACGTTCTTTCTACTTCTAGGTTTGGATGGACTTAGGCTCACGAGAACGGTGTTAGATCCACCCCATCCTCCCCGCTTTTTTAGCACCATCTGAAGACTCTCCTTCTAGGTTAGGGAGAACCTCATGGGTGCTGACAGTTGGTTCTAGAGCCTGGGTGTGAGATTGCCAGGCAGATAAGGAAAAGGGCTTGGCATCCGGGCAGAGGGAACAGCATGTGCAAAGGCATGGAAGGGCAAAGGACATGGGGAATTTGGGATTTCAATGAGGCTGGAGCTGAGAGGATGGAGGAGGGAGAGGCGGAGGAGAGACAGTTGGGGAAAGGCTCCACTCTGCACCCATCCTTCCACTCGGCCTCTCTGCACTCGGGTTGCATCTTTGTCCTCTGTAGCTTGGCTGATAGGGCCTGATGGAGTGTGCTGTGGATTTTTTCACGCTCAGGGCCAGTTAGATCCACCGTGTTCTACTGTCGTGGACTGTGCCCAGGAGTGTGGAAGCTCTGTTGTGAGGTCTCCAATCCGGGAAAAGTAAAATGTGTGCTCTGGATGCTTGTGTAATGTGATCTTCGTGTTCTGGAGAGCCCCTTTTTCTTACGTTCCTCTCTTTTTTTCTTGCTCCTTCTCCTTCCCCTCCTTCCTTGTCATTGTTCTGGTTAATGCTGTATTTTACGATGCCTCATTTTGCCGATAGAGATGTCAGTGCACAGGTGCTTTCTAGAACACTCATTTTAAAGACTCCTCTTTTTCTGGAGTGTTGGGGGTGGGTTGTGACAGAGCATAAGTTCGGCAGATGGGCCCTGGTACTTAGCCAGGAGTAAGGATTTCCCTTCTGTTTTAAACCTGTTCCTTTTTTTGGGAGGCTGTTTGCCTGTGTCGGGGAAATGGTGGTTTGACTCCCCACCTTTTCAGGGCTGCAGTTCAACCCCTAGCAGGCCTGTTGGGCTCTGACTGAGACCTGCCCGGCCAGTGGCTTCTCCTCCGTGGCCTCAGTAGCTCCCAGGGCTTGTGCTTGGCAGCCCACTTCCAAGGCCTGGGTGGGCTGGGGAGAAAGCTGGCATTTCCTCCAGACCCACCGCCTGCAGGGGAAGCCACTCTGTGGTGGACCTGGCGTCTCTAGGGCTGAACGAGACCCCCTGGAGAGTCTCCAGAACCTCCCAGAACAAAGCGAGACCCTGAGAGTCCCATCTGGATCGAGCCGGTTTTCTGACGAGAAGATGCGGTTCTGCCACGTGAGGCTGCACATTTAGCTCCCTGTGACAGAACCATTTTCCCTGTCAACAGGTCCTTCAGCTCACAGCCCTCTCCAGCAGCTTTTCCCGCATTCATTCGGGTAAAGGGATGACGCATGTGACAGCGTCGAGTGCGGATTCATTCGGGCGGTCACCTAGCAACGGCCTAATGGCTCCCCCTGGCTCCCTGAGCCGGCTGAGAGCACAAAGGCAGCTTTTCAGGCTCGGCCTTCTCCCGCCCACACACAGGACTTCGGGGGCCTCGGCCCCTGCCGCTGCTGCGGAAGCTAAATGGTGTAGATGAAGCAAGTTCGGGACAAACAACAAAGGGGGGCTCGGGACTGGCCGGCTCCCTTCTGGGCCTTCTCAGGGCCCCCCTGGGGAGGACTGAATCCCAAGTCAGCCCCAGCACCCAGCCCATGTTGTACTTCACATCTGTATAGCGTTCTGGAGCCGGACGGGATTGGGAGACCACCCAGCAAATAGCTAACCCTCCAAGGATGGAAGGTCTGCTCCCTTTTCCAGCTCTTTCCAGCGTGGACCTTCAGCCAGAGTCTCAGTCCTGGCCCCTGACAGTGAAGAAGTGCTTCTTTATGTCTTGAGTTAGCTTTGCGTGTAACTCAGGAACATTCCTCTCTGCAAAATATATATGTTTTTCATTATAAAGTAATATGACCACATTACAGAAAACAGATACAAGGGGAAAAAAAGTCAGTCATCCATAATCCCACGACCCGGACATAAGCACTGTCAGCATTTGCTATATTTCCGTTGTCTGTTTTTCTTCCAATGCATCTGCTTTTTCCATACTTGTAATCATGGCATACATACAATTTTGTGTCCTGCTCTTTCACTTAATATTTCCCTTCAAGTTATACTATAAGCACTTTTTCATATTTGCCACGTAGTCTTATTTTTAATGGCTATACATTATAACCAAAGACTAGACCATTTCCTCTCATTTGGCCCAGTTATGTCTGGGACATAGGCTTGGGGTTTATTTGCCAGCTGAAAGCTCACCATTATCTTTTGCTTTTTTTTTTTTTCCCCTCCAGGGACCAAGTTTTTAGGATTAACGTCAGAAATGGAGACGAGATCAGCAAACTAAGTCAGCTAGTGAATTCAGACAACCTGAAGGTACGTGGCTCTTCTGAGTCCTCTTGAGTATCTCTGACTTCAGTGACAGAAGACTCTTGCACCACCGGCATTGTTACTCCTGGAGAGTTTTTGTGTATAGTCCTGTATTAGTCAGTGGGCCCTCACACGATTGTGAGGGCCGGTGGGGAGAAGTGCTATAGATCACGGCACTGCTGTCCTGGAAACTGGGCACCCTCAACGGTGGGCTCCCTCTTTCTGTCTATCATTGACTTACTACTTCTTGGAGTTGGCCAGGTCTTGCCTTCTGGGTAGGCCTGACCAGACACAGCTGTGAAATGGGCAGAGTTTTCCCTTGGTCAGAACCCAGCTCCTCAGGGATCATCCTGGCTTTTGGCAGTTGTTTGAGAAGAATGAGCTCATTGTGCCTTTTACCTGAACTGTCCTTTAACCTGGTTTTATTTTCCGTTCTCTTCAGCTCAACGTCTGGAAATCTCCCTCCACCTTCAGTCGTCCTGTGGATGTCTTGGTCCCATCTGTCAGTCTGCAGCCAGTCAAATCCTTCTTGAAGTCCCAGGGCTTAGAGTACTCAGTGACAATTAAAGACCTGCAGGTGGGTAGGCCATGGTCCTTAACTGGTTTTGTATAGGACAAAGCACCCAGAGTGGACCTGAGACATGTGCAAGTCTTCATCTTATCCTTCTCCATTTTATAAATGAACTCATTGAGGTCCATGGAAGTAAAGTGCAGTGACTTCTTAGTGGGAACATGTTGTTGTAGGAAGGGCATACCCAGGTTAGGGAACTGGACAGACCTGGATCCGAATCCTGATTTTGCTATCAGCTGTGTGGCTCTGGACAAGCTATTAACATCTTGAGCCTCTATTTCTTCATCCGTAAAATGGTAGTAGCAGCGATGCCAACTTCATACAACTGATCGAGAAAATAAAATATATTAAGTGTATGTGAAATGCCCAACAGTACTTGGTCTGTCAAAGATGCCCCACAAATACAAACCCTCTCTCCCTTGTTGTATTTGAAGTCAAGAGGGAAGAAAAGTGTGTGTGCGGGGGTGGGGGAGTATGTTGGAGACTCGTCATGAAAAGCATCTTTTGACAACGAGGGAATGTCACCTGTAGTTCTCAGCAGCAGGAACATCACCACCCAAGCCAGACACCAGCCTCACGACCTGTATCAGAACAGCAGGACAGTGTCTGGCTCATGTTCTCTCCTTCACCGAGGTGGGTTATGGACTAATTGGCAATTTGGCCCGGGAGTTTCCTGATGGCGTGAGCAGCTGTGAGCTTATTAATCATCCTCACATGTCACAGACATCTGCCAGGAGCCTTCAAAGTATGAGTGGTTATAAGAATTTCTTTGTTTCTGAATGGTTTCCCAAGCTGTGTATTTCAGAGGCACTGGATACCAGATGCGGGCCGATGTCTAGAGAATTCATAGTGCAGAATAACCAAATAGCACATATGCTGCTTTTGGGGAGTAAGTGGGTTTTGAATGGGGTGATGTACTTTGGATGCCAAGAAATAAGCTTTTGTAGATATGTGGAAGAAATCTGACCCCCTTTTACACCTTGACGTTTGTGTGCCGAGGGTGCCGCCATCTTGGCCAGCTCATGCCAAAATGTGGCAGAAACAACTTGAACCTCCATCTCCAGTGAGTCACTTCACAGCATTGCCGTGTCTGTTTTAGGCCCTTTTAGATAACGAAGATGAAGAAATGCAACACAATGAAGGGCAAGAGCGGAGCAGTAAAAAATTCAACTATGGGGCCTACCATTCCCTGGAAGCTGTAAGTGTCTCGGAGCAGGTTAAGATCAAGGTCATTGGCATCTTGGGTTTTGTAACCCCTTTTCTTACTTGGAGGAAGCCCTGGTCCATAGCGCAATACCCCTTTACTAAGGGGCTAAAATGTGAACACTTCAATTTTTGTTTTGTTTTGTTTTTTGGTAATTCTTGGGTTGTTTATCTCCCACCAGCACCTAAGAGCATAGTGAAACACAACTGAACATTTTCTCCCACATGCATCCTTCCTTCCTGAGGCAACCCCTGAAAGAAAACCATGAAATAATTACAATCATTTCCATCCTTGTAATTCAACCTTCTTATACCCCACCATAATCCCTGTATTTTACTCACCCAGATTAAAATGTTACTTATTCCAGGCAAGTAGACAAGTGGTTATTTCCAAGGTTAACCAAATATTTCCACTCATTTATCATGATTACTTATAATGTATATTTGTACTCTAATGTGTTTTGGTGCTGTGTTTAGTTAAAAACCACTTTATATAGATGACTGACTTTCAAGGTAATCCAGCAAACACTTCCAATAAAAAATTTGGAGCAGAACCACTTAATATGATATTAGAACTTGAGGAATCAAGAGGGGCTATAGAATGGGGCTGCATCAGATAGCCTACAGTTTCCTTACGACCCTCAATGTCTTCTACATTAGTCTAGAAACTCTCTACTAGCTCAGAACAACATCTCAAAAGGAAATTGTTATTCTCCTTCCCATACCTGCATACGCATTATTCTTTATAACCAAAGATGGGGTTCCTGGCATGCTTTTTGTGAGACATAGGCTTTGAGCTGTTTTTCTTCTAGATGAGGGATTATTTTCAAGGTTGACCAACTGTTTTCACTTCTTTCCCATGATTGTCAGTAGCTTTGTTTATTGTATACACTTCCAACTGCACTGCCCCTTGATCCCTTTTGTGACCAATGACATACATCTGCAAAGCAGCTGGATAAAGTTAGGAGTTCAGTCCAGGGCCACGGACAAAAGCAGAGCTCAGGGCTCACACAGGCATCAGACCCGTGACGTGAGCCTCGTTAGCGTGGCACACTCCCTAGCTGAGCTAAGTGGTTGCAAATGTCACCCAAGACCCCGGGAATGCCATCCCCTCACCTGCCCGCTATGGGAGCTGCACTTTCTCATGGGCTTGGTTTTGCTCTACGGCTTTAGGGGTCACTGCCGTCTGATTGCAGCTTCCCCCACATCCCCCGTCCCCTGTGAGGCCTTCTGCTGTGCCTCGGTGTACGGTCTCCCTCTTGGCTTGATCACATGCAGTTCTCTCTAAAAACAGCTTTGAAGAGCTCTCGTCCTGTAACTGCTTAGGCCTGCTTAGGGTCTCTGGTGGGAGTCTCATGTCTGTCTCAGCCAGGGTTTCCAGTTTCCGTTTTCCTGTGTGTTTGTTGCTGTTGCGTTGTTTCTGTTGTTTGCCAGCTGAGTTTCCTCCTCATGCTGGCAGTGTGAATTTGGACCCTTCCCTCCCAATATAGCTTGGTGTTTTAACTTCTCCTGGGGGACTCTCTTGCCTCTCACGGTTCAGGGTGGGTATCCGGCTTTTGCTTCACTCTCTAGGGTCAGTAGGTAGAGTTTCCAAGCCCTTTTCATGGCTGGAGTGGCCGGTTCTCAGCTCTCAAGTTCCAGCTCCTTGGCCCACCCCGGTTCCTGTGCCCTCGATCACTACTCCTGACTTGCTGTAAACCCTCAGTGCCTACAGCGGATAACTGGTCCCGAGGCTCCATTTTCTGCCTTCCACTCAGCTGGTTAGGTCCCTTTTCATTTCTCGCCCCTGCAATGTCTCCTTTCTTGATTTTTAAGCTTGGCTGGGAATTATTTTCATTGTAGTTTCTCTGTCTTGAGTATGTATTTGGGGAGCGGTTTCTTGCTTCTGCTCAGTCTGCCATACTGACTGCTGCTCTGGCAGACCACTGAAGCTGGAATTTTAGTCAATATCAATCGTGTATTTTTCTTCTCTGTACGGCTCCCTCTTCCACTTTTAAGGTCTAAACATACATTTCTTTATTTCCTTCTTTTGCCCTCAGTAGTTTTGAGCAACTAAGATGGATGAACCCTATTTAAATCAAGTTTTTTTAGAAATTGAAACCAAATGGAAGCATTTGCCGCCGTGATTTACAGCTCTTCACTCATTCTCTTAAGGCCGTTAGAGGAATCTCCAAAGAGGGGCTCAGACTACAGGGTATAAGCAAGACGCTTCACTGGGTTGGAGGAAGAAACTATTACAACTTCTATTTACGTTCTACATATGTTTATACTTATTATTAATGCTACCATTTTGTTTCTTTTTTAATAATGCACTTATTGGTACATTATTCTGGTGGTATACATAATGTATTGTATATATGTTATATACATAACAAATATTTATTATAAAACAAATACATAAATGTATATATATAGTGTATGCTAATTAAAAAAACTGGTAGAGAAAGTGATCAAAAGGTTTGAAGAGGACCGTTTTCAAGAACCTTGGCCGAATGGGGCAATTGCTGATTCTCCCTTCTGGTGTGGCATGAAGGACCACACCGCTAGAGGAGTCTGTGTGCAAGTCTCTCTAGTTTAGTGGCCTATAATTTTATGGACAGATAAAATGTGTTATTCTCTAGAATGTTGTAGAAAAGGGCTCTTAAGGCAGTTCTTCAAGAATAAGTATTCCATGGTGATAATATTGTCAACCCTGAGATCACAGGGCTGGATCTAATCATTGATCAAATCAATGAAGAAGTCATTGGGGTAAGTAAGATGAAGTTCACAGATACCTACCCAGAGCTGAAAACAAAATTTTCAAATGCCCCTGAGTCCACCTTTCCATGCTTTAGATTTACCATGAGATGGACAGCATTGCCGGAGATTTTCCCAAGTTGGCGACCAGGGTGAAGATTGGGCATTCGTTTGAAAACCGGCCCATGTATGTACTGAAGGTGAGGCCCGAGGCTCTTCAAGAGGCCTGGCTGGACTCAGGCTCCTGGTCCCTTGTGTCCAGGACCCAGCCCTCAGACCTCTGAAGGAGGGAGGTTTTTAGGCTCTTCTTGACTTCAGAGGCATGGGTAGACATCTTCTGGGGCTCAATTTTGGTGTGACTGAGAGTTCCCTGTTTTTGCCTAATGTGGAAGGAGTTAGAACATAGAAGGAGACCATCCCGTTGCAAGTTTTGACTGAAAGACAGGATCAGCTGGGGGGAAGGGTCATGGGTGGGAGAGGATGGAGTGGGTGAGGGGGATGGGGATGGGGGTGGGGTGGGTCTGTTAGCATTCCAGAAAGTGCTCAGATGGGCCACAATCTTTTGCCTTCATTCGTACCTCCAAAAAGCAAGTCAAATTGGGATTGCTCTACAAATTCTATTCTACTTTTAGGGGTACTTATTGGAAAAGCAATCTAGGAAGCTAATTTTAGGGTTGATGTAATTTTAAGCCCAGCCTATGATCCTTGGCTGCACAAAGCCTAACTTCTAGATATTTCTAACAGATTCAGGTCTATATTGGCAAAAGAGGTAGAGAATTTATGGCAGGGACATAAATTACATAAATAACCCAGCCAAATGAATAAAAAGGAATTTGGAGATATGAAGCATGGAACAAGTGAGGGTGCTAAGAATTTGTCAGATCCTTAGTGTCCTATAAGCCCCGAAGAACCCAGGCTCCTGGCTTGAATTACCAGCCAGAGGAGATTTGCCACCGAGCCGGTCGCTCTGAAATAATCCACATAAATTTAGACGATTTGCCAACCTGTTGGAGACTCTGGCTTCATTAGCACCATGCTTTGACCCAAGGTGGCCGGACCCCACACTAAAAGGTAGGAGCCAGAACTCATTTAATGCCATTTGCAAAGAGCTGTAGTGAACCTCTGTCTTCCTCCTTGTAAAATCAAATTCATTTATTGCATCAGCTGGAACAGGCCGGTTCATGCACTCTCGGGCCTCTCTCTGTTGGGGTACCATTTGAGGTCTTTCAAGAGACATAATATTATCTCTAATCACACTGGCATTATCATTCACAATAGCAATTGTTTCCCCTTGCCATTTGCTTCCCACCCTGGAGCGGCTCAAGTGGCCCGGAGCCACGGCCGTGCCTCGCCAGCCAACCAATTAAGCTCCCTGGTCACAGATAAACCTGATAAATAGATGGTACCCTCAGGAACAGTTGGTCTCTGAATTATCTTAAATTGATTAAATGAATAGGGGTGAGCTGGGGAGAGGAGAAGTGAGTGGAGACACGGGCAGGAGGGTCATTTTCAGGCCTCTTTGTCCTTCCACAGTTCAGCACCGCAGAAGGCAGGCGGCGGCGGCCAGCCGTTTGGCTGAACGCAGGCATCCATTCCCGGGAGTGGATCTCGCAGGCCACGGCGATCTGGACTGCGAGGAAGGTCATGTCGTGTGGTATTAGCTGACAATTCTGGGGGGCCAGGGTGCCCCTGCAGGGTCCCAGGAGGCTGGGCCTGGGGGGATGAGGTGGGAAGGTACTCAGCCCAGAAACAGTTGGAGGGAGGGCTTTTTGGGTTGGAAAAGCAAAAGGTCAGAGTCCTTTGGTCAAGCCACTGTGGCTAAATGACAAAGTCCATTCATGGCAGCGAGCAAGCTAATGAGCTGTAGAAATAGACCCGAAATCCTGAGCCCATAGTCAGTCCTACAGAAAGGGAGCAGAGCCTTCTCTGCAGCGAAACTCAGACCAACTTTGCTATCAGCCCATCCTAGCCCTCTAGACCCTCAAGGATCTCAGGCTGTCTGCATGTGCCCCCCCCCCCCAGAGTCTGCTTTGAGGCAGCACTAGCCAGAGGAGGGGTGTTGCGTGTGGAGGATGTACTTTCCCTACCGGTTAGCGTGGGGGCCCAGGTTCCCCAAAACTATGATGATGTGTGGCTCTTCCCTCCCTTATTCCCACCCCCTGGAAGGAAGGAATCAACCAGGCAGCCCCAGACTCTGCAGTTGATGTCATCAGGAGGCCATGCTCCCCGAGGGTTTGAAGTGCCCCAAGAGCTTTGCAGAGAGCTCTGTCTATGAGGGGGACAGAGAGGCTGCAGGGGGCACCTGGGGAAGATACACGGGCTTCGACCGGGCACCCCAGCTGGTCACCCAAGAAGCTGACAAGCTTCTTGTCTCTGCTTAGATCGCATCTGATTACGGGAAGGACCCAGCCATCACCACCATCTTGGAGAAAATGGATATTTTCTTGTTGCCTGTGGCCAATCCTGATGGATATGTGTACACACAAACTCGAGTGAGTAACACCGAGTGAGCTGGGCTTGAAGGTGAGAAGAGTCTGGTGAATTCCTTGCTGTGCCACCCGAACAGTTGTAGGAACGGGGAGAGAACTCCCACCCACGTGCACGTTACAAGCTTCCTCGGGCTCCATTTCTCACTCATCCCCTGAGCTGAGAGTCACCAGGGAATATTTTTTCTTGGAGAGAATCGTCTAATGAACTCCCTCTCATGGATCTTGAACAATTATCAACACTTAACCAATCTTCTTTTCATTTTTTTCCCTCCCACACATTTTTTTTTCCTTTTGTTTAAAAGCACATCCCTGACATCAGGTTATTGGACCCCAAATTTTTTAATATGCATCTCTGGTTGATGGTTATTAAAACAAAACAAGAAAAAAACCCAAACAATACACCACTGTCACTTAAAAAAATTAATGGAATTTCTTTAACATCATCTAATTCCCCCAATTATCTTTTAGATGTCTTTTGAGTCAGTTTGTTGAAATCAGTCCCCAATAAGGTTTTGCACCTGTATTTGGTTGTTGCCGCTCTGTAGGCTTTTTAAATCTACGGCGGTTACCCACTCCCACACACATCTCTTTTAAAAATGTCATTCATTTGTTGGAGAAACCAGGTAAATTGTGCTGTAGAATGTCTCACGTTCTGAATTTGGCTGATGACTTCTTTGTTGTGTGTCATTCGTTCCCGTAAGCTCTTCACTTGTAGTCAGAGCTTGAAGTTCGATTGGGTTCAGTTGAGTTTTTCAGGCAAGTTAATAAAATAGTTGCCGTGCACTTCCTGTCAGACCAGTGGTGGTTCGGGCAGACGATGTCTGCCGAAGCCAAAAATCAATTTGGAGGGTTCAGGCGACATCAGGCTTGTTCTTGCGTTACAAAGTTCTCATCATGGCATTTTGGGGGAGTCCTTCTCTCTGAGCCCGAAGGGCCGAGCCTCCTTTCTCTGGGAGATGAGAGGAGAATGCTCAGTCTGTGAGCACCGGGGCCCCAGTGATCCTCCAGGCAGAGCTAAGAACCTTGCTCCATCATGGACCCCCACCCCAGAGAACACCTTCGCTTTTCCTGTACCCTGACCCACCCCTGAATGCTTATCCCCTCCTTGGTGGTCTTTCCAGAACCGACTATGGAGGAAGACACGGTCCATCAATCCTAGAAGCCCTTGCATTGGTGCTGATCCAAACAGAAATTGGAATGCTAGTTTTGCAGGTAGGCTGGGAGTGGGGGGTGGTGGCTTTCCCTCCCTGCTGCCCCGGGGAGCCTGGTCCACGGGGTGCTGAGTGGGCAGTGAGGGAACCAGTTTCCAGGCTGGCTCCATTCCTGCTTCACAGAGAGACGTGGGCCAATTCCTTACACTCTGTCTAGGGTTTTTGTTTTTTGTTTTCTGGTTTTTCTGTTTTTGTTTTTAACATTTTTGGGGGGTAGTTTTGAAAGGGACTGACTCAGCAATTCTTGTTCTCCTGAAAGTACACTAATATTTTAAAAATGGTTCTAGTCTTAGACGTTCAGATCCACGCTCTGTGCCCTGGGCGTCCCTGCTTCTCCCGGGCGAGCGACTGGGTAGGTGGAAGGGCTCCTGGTGGTAACTGGGAAGAGAGCAGTTAGCACAGTCACCCTGCCAGACCAGATCGTGGGACGTGGGACGTCAATCCCAGCAGTTGACCCTTAGATGTGTCAGTGTGACATGCAGCCCTTTGGTGTCACAGAAAGGGCACGAGGATTAGGAGACCCGCGTTCTGAGTTCCAGCTGTTTAAAAACCATCCGTACAGTCATGTCCACTGGCTGCCAGGTAAAGTGTTCCTGTGTGTTCCCTTACTTATTCGTCTGACCGAGTGAGTGAGTTTTATTATCTGAAGTGAGACAATTGGACTCGGAGACAGTCTCAGGAGCAGGTGGCCAAGAGTTAGGGTCGGAGCTCACCTTGCAGCTCCAGAAGTCTGTAGTGCTCTCTCGCGCCCTTCCACAGCTGGGCTGTTGTCCTGTCTTCAACCTACTTCTTGTACCTGCACACTCGCCTGCCCCACACCCTGTGGCAGGGAGAATCATGCATCTGTGGGAAAGGAGCTGAGAGAAATGGGGGAACTGAGGGCGTGGAAGTTAAGTCAGCTCTTCCCACAAGCAGGGTGGTTTTACGCACAGGCCACGTACCTCAGGGAGCTGTGTTGTGAACCAGTACAGAAGGCAGTATCTAAATACCGGCCAACTGGGAGGCTTTAGCCACAACAATAGATTATTTTTGGCAGCCCTTGGCCATTAAGATCTGAACCAAGAGAATGAGTTGACACCAGAATAAATGGAGTCATTTTCATTATTAATTGGTATTTGTATTAATTATCCAAAATACTTATTAATTACAACTCATTGTCGGGTATGATATTAATTATTTATGGCAGCTGTTAGTGATGCCATACAAGGTCGACTCTATCCATTTAAAGGAATCCTTCCAGTTTTCCCTCCTCAGCTGTGGCAGATTCGGTGCCCTCCCTCTTCTGCGCCACCCCCCACACCACCCACCATGTACACATATTGTGGACTAGGCTCCTGGGGTAGGGGGGCTCCTTCCATCGACCTGTCCATGGCCAGCCCCTCCTGCTCTTCCTCTGGGTTCAGTGTCCTACATTTCTGTTTTCTTGCCGATGGGTTCATGTTTCTGTTTGGGCCACTCCCCACAGGACAGGGGGCCAGTGACAACCCTTGCTCTGAGATATACCATGGACCCCATGCCAACTCGGAAGTGGAGGTGAAGTCGGTGGTAGATTTCATCCAAGAACACGGGAATTTCAAATGCTTCATCGACTTGCACAGCTACTCACAGCTGCTGATGTATCCATATGGGTACACCGTCAAGAAGGCCCCGGATGCTGATGAGCTGGTGAGTGACGGGCCGCCTTCCCTAGGGCCCACCTAGCCCTGGGCCTGCTTGACCCCAGGGTGCTGCCACAGTTGTCCTTCCACAACTTATAGAGACAGTCCAGGAGCCTGGACTTATTTCATTAAGGGCCTGGTCTTCTCTCCTTTTGTCCTTTGGATTGTGCCATCAGACCCCCTGGGGACAAGAAGACAGTTCTCCTTATTTCTGTGTTTGCTGTGACTTTCAAGAACCATGCCTGACCCCTGCCTTTCCTTCTCAGTTGTTTTTCTGACCAAAATGTGTGACAGACCCATTGCTTGCCAAAAACTGTGGGTGGCATTGTGGTGAGTGAGGGAGAGGTGCTCCTCATTCCAGTCAAGGTAGAGTTGAAGTAGGGTGCCAGCTATAGCCTAGGGGTGCTCCGCGTCACATGTAATGACTCGCCCTAGGATGTGAAGAGACACTTAGGGTGGACTGACTGGAGTAGGGCTGGCATCTGTAGGGTGAAGGCAGGCTTCTCCCTCTGTACTGGTAGATTCCAGAGCGCCCCCCTGCCCGGGGCCACAGCTAGTCTCTAAACCTCCCAGTAGATGCAGGGCTCATGCTAAGTGTGAGCCACATTCTGGTCTCAAACAGGTGTTGGCATATGCATATAGGACGGCCCTGTCTCCACCTCCACTCTGGGAACACCCAGCTCTTAGAAAGTTTTCTCTGGAACGTATTTGGCCTTCCCGCACATTCATGAACATGACACTCCCATCCCTCAAGGGAGGTGAAGATGGTGGTGTATTCACTAGGTTGGGTTGGTGAGCAGCCCTCCATGTCTCTGTGTATCAGGCTTTGGCTCTGGTTGGATGGAAAAGGAGGAGACCAGAAGGGAAACTTGAAGGAAGTGCCAAGAACCTTTCACACCATCGCAATGCAGAGCAGCTGAGGGATGTCAGGTTGTGGGATCCATTCTTTCTCACTCTGCTGGTTCCCCCTCCTAGGACAAGGTGGCAAGGCGTGCGGCCAAAGCTCTGGCTTCCCTTTCGGGCACGACGTACCAAGTGGGTCCTACCTGCACCACTGTCTGTAAGTACTTGCTCTATTAGTTATTTAGAAAATGCTTGGAGAGGAAACTTGAAGTGGAAGGAGAGCCTCAAATTAGGCTTACTATGTTGCAGTCTGATGGTTTTGGCTGTTAGCGATAGACCGAATGTGTCAGGCCTGTGGAATGATAGCTGCTGTAGGCGGTTGTCTCCATCAGTACCGTCACTACAGTCATGCTACGTGTCACCTGCCCGTGGTGAGTTTAGTCCTGCTAGTATGCTGGAGTCTGTGTCCCTTCTATTCCATGAAAGATCCCGACATCGTTTATCAAAAGTTCCTCAAGCCCAGCGTTTCATTTTCAAAGGAAACCCACCTTTGGAGATGCAGATCGAGGTGGCTGTAGTGGGCATAGAGGAGACTCCGTCCTCTTCCCATAGGAGACGAGCCCAAGTTGGAGCAGAGCATGCTGGGAGCGGGGGTCCTCTTGGCAATGGTTAGCATCAAGCCAAAAGAAACACCCTAAACAAACCCTACCAAGGCTCCAAACCTGAAGAGCGTCTTCAGGCTCATTACTTACAGCTTCAACCTCATTTTGAGGAAATAGCTTTGTTTTGGTTTCTCACTGAAGTGTTTCATGTGAGTATTTCACTCTGTTCCTGCTGAGATCCTTCCAGTTCCCTCATTCCATGAGTCTGAGCTTTAAACTTAAAGATCAAATTGAAGAATACTATCGTTCTCCAGGACTCTAGCTATCAAGGGGAAATAAAAGCACGAGCACGAGGAGCATGGTTCTGACACCTTTGAAGCCAGTGCCCATCTTTTCCCCTCTAGTGTCTCTCCTCTGTAAGTAATTTTCCAACAGTGGGTCCCCCCTCAGACCCCCTGTAGGCTTGCCGTATTTCTGTCCTATTCCACACCGTAACTCTCCATCCAAGCGCTCCACCTCAGCTAGCTGTTCCCTTCAGCCTTCCTGTTCTGGGAAGTTTCTCCATCCCCCTCCTGGGTCCTCCTCTGTATCTGACCTCAGCACTCTTGTGTGTGTTTCATATGCTGCCTTGCTGCATAAAGCAATTAGTGTGATGTAGGTGTTTGTGTGGCTAATTGCGGGAACCATCCATTAATTATTCAAGATTGATTATTATTAGTGTTGTTAAATGGGAACTCCTAGGAGAAGAAACACCTCAGGAGAGTTTCTCCATCCTCTGCTCCATTAGTGAGAACTGAGTTTAGGACTGCAGAGGGGTGAAGAGACTTGGTGGGAGTCCTTTGGTGAGGCCCTCTCGAAAGAGCTTTGTGGGTCACCACAGTCCTGGCTTTTAGGTCAAACACCAGTTTAAAGGATGGCCTTGTCAACCCACATCAAACACATTCTTCCCAGCCTAAGCTCTGCCAAAACCAAGAGATACTCATCGGATTCCTCCAGAACCAGAGGTGGAAGGCGCTCCCTGAGTGTTGTCCGGGAGACATAATATTTCCTAAGTCTTTCAAGAGCCCATCTTCTGTATTGTTTAAAGGCTTTGCCTACCCTCCTTGCTTCCCAAAAATGTAATCAATTTTTGTATAATAACACTCTGATCCCATAGGTTATTACATGAGCTACACGCATGGTCGACGTCTGTCCCTTCAAGTGCCAGACCTTTTCTTAGATTAACCATTTTAGCTGAAAATAATCTCAAATTTCACACTTTCTTGCCTTTTTAAACAGAGCATGTACAAGGGATTTAAGCTCCTTTCTTCATGACGTAGTGGCCTTCTGAACATTAGTAATAATGTCCTGGAGGCTTTCCGTGCCACATTGCACTTTCAGTCCCTGTGCTGGGCAGCCCCAAGCCCATTTTGCTGCTTTAATTTGTGCATTTGCTTTTTTAGAGTTTTCCCGTTCCTTCCCCTGGTCAGACTGTACTGCTTTCAGACTACCTGCCTCTAGCAACCTTCTCCCCTCTCTTTACTACTAAGGGCTGGGACACAAGTTCTTTAGGCTCATTTGACTCGTGGATAGATCCTGAGTAAGAAGGATATTCATGACAACATTGTTTATACTCACAGAAGCCTACTGAGTACCTCAATGTCCGTCAGTACAGTACCGAATAAAAACACATTTGGTGCAGGCACACAATGAAACAGTGTGCCCCCTGCTTAAATGAATGAGGTGCATCTGTAGATGCGAATAGGGAATAATCTTTAAATGTCAATTGGGAAATACAGTGTGATTTTTATTTCTTTTAATTTTAAAATTTATCTTATCATTTTTAAAAGATTTTATTTATTTATTTAACAGCAAGATAGCGAGAGAGAGAGCACAAGTAGGTAGAATTATATGAGACCACACAAGAATTTCAGAGACTATAGGAGAGCCTGTTTCATAACCTCATGGGGCATGGCATCACAGCATCTCTAGAAAAGTCACAAGCGGAGGGGTGCCTGGGGGGCTCAGTCGTTAAGTGTCTGTCTTCAGCTCAGGTTTGCTCCCAGAGTCCTGGGATCGAGCCCTGCCTTGGGCTCCCTGCTCCACGGGGAGTCTGCTTCTCCCTTTCCCCCTTGCTTATGTTTCGTCTCTCTCAGTATCTCTGTCAAATAAATAAATAAAATCTTTTTTTAAAAAATCACAAGTGATACCATGAGAAATAACCCTCAAGAATAATGGAAAACAAAAGGACCCATCTTTTCATTTAACAGACATGTACCATAAATACTAAATGGACTGGGAGGAGGTTGAGGAAAGCATGGGCTTTTTTTTAGCAGACGGCCTTGGGTTTCAATTCCAGTCCTGCCATTTTTCATCTATATTTCCTTAGATAAATTACTCATTCTGAGCCTGGATTTCCTCCTCTGAAAAACAAGGACGGTAATACCCACCTCACTGGGTTTTTAAAGATTAATGAGGTCATAGATGTGAACTTTTCAATATAAATGACCAGCTTATGGGAGATGTTCAATAAATGATAGCTGCTATTGACATCATTATTTTATTATTCAGTGACATCCACACTTTGCACTTTTAGCCAGTTTCTGCTCTAGTTGAGTTTGGCTGGGAAGAAGCAGGAAAACAGGACTCTTTCAACAGCCTTTTGGCAAAGGGAAGTCTCAAGGGTTGTGCTTCGTTCTCTCTGTGTTTATCAGTTATCTCTTGCTATGTAAAAAGTTATCCTAAAACCTAGCAGCTTAAAATAATAAATGTTTATTTTCTTCCACTCTTTCCCTGGGGTAGGAATTCAAGAATGGCTTAGCTGGGTGGCTCTGGCTCAGGGCCTCTCCCAAGGTTGCAGTCAAGGGCTAGAGTCCTTTAAATCCTTGACCCGGCTGGAAGGGTCTGCTTCTCGGGTGGCTCACTCAGCTGCTGAGTACTGGCAGGAGGCCTCCATTCTTCACCACACAGACCTGGTGATGGGACACTCTCTGACCATCCACACACCCTGATGCCTGGCTTTCCCCAGAGCAAATGCTCTAAGAGAGAGCAAGGCAGAAGCCACAGTCTTTATGATCAGCCTTGAAGGTCACACGCCATCATTCCTGCAATTTCCTGTTAGTTACCCAGGTCAGGGCAACCCCACTCAGTGTCGGAGGGGACCACCCAGGGAGGTGAAAACCAGGAGACAGGGATCATTGGGGCTGGCTTGGAGGCTCCTGTCTCACTCTGTGAAGATTGGTTTTGAGTGACTGGAAAGAGTCTAAACAGTGAGTTAGAGAAAAGGTGGGCTTGAAGATTTAAAATCTCTTGGTTTGAGATGAATGAAGATGACCATCATACAGGACAGACTGAGACATACAGGTCAGGCCGGTGTTCATATGTTGGTGGCCTGATGACCTTCAGCAAGAATTCTAGGTCCCTAAGGAACCATGGGCAGGCAGAATTCCTGAGGCCTGCCCATCTAACCCTGAAAGGAACTGGGGTTCAAAGGTGTTTTCTTTCTGACTTACAGATCCAGCTAGTGGGAGCAGCGTTGACTGGGCGTATGATCATGGCATCAAGTATGCGTTCACGTTTGAGTTGAGAGATACTGGGCACTATGGCTTCCTCCTGCCAGCCAACCAGATCATCCCCACTGCAGAGGAGACCTGGTTGGGGCTGAAGACCATCATGGAGCATGTGCGGAACAATCTCTACTAGATGAGGCACTCTGCTCTGTCTCTGGTTATTTCTCCTCATGTACGCGTGCTCACTGAAGCCACGATTAAAGGGAGCTTGTTCTTTCACGTGTGACTCAGAGCCCTCTGGCTTTGTGGGGAGCACAGGTCAGCCCCTCCTCAGCCCTCATCCTCAAAGTTCATGCATTCTGGTGGTGCACCTCAGAGGGGCGTTCTTGCCACCCTGCTGTGTTTCAGTCCTGCTGGTCCACTGAGCCCTTTGTGTGGCCTTCCTCTCACATAACTGGTTGGGCAGACCACACTTAACATCACTCCGTACTGGGTGGCACGTCTCTACCTCATTTTGAGAACCAAAAAACATCTAAGATAGTTCCCTAGCCTTGTCCCATCCGGCCAGGCTGGTGACCTTGCGCTGCTGGGGCCCCGAGGGAGATGCTGTGGGCGACAGTGCCTGTCTTTGAGATCAGTCTCAAAGGTGACATAGAACTTCCTCTAATTTATCTCACTCCTTCTTGAACATATTTGTCTTTGAAAAATAAATCCTGTAAGGTTATCAGTAGAGGCCATCTTTTTTTTTTTTTTTTTTTGGTTTTTGTTTGTTTGGGGTCTGAATACAAAGTAGTGGATCACTTTTCCTCACTGGGCCCCAAATGCCCAGACACAACAGTTCTGATCACATTCTTCCGTTAGTTACACAGTGTAACTGGGATCCCAGAAGGGGATCTGTGCCACCATAGGTACTGTTCACCCAGGAACCCTTAATGAAGTGGTGATCTAATAGCAGGATTGCTAAATTATCCCCGTCTGTCCTCATGGGCTCACCTCTACTTTGCCTTTTGAACTCACTTCAAAGATCTTGCCCTCACCCTACGGGTCCTAAATTACTCCTCTGGCCTGGATAATGTCACTGCACATTCCTGTGGCACATTCCTGCCTCTGCTGTGGTGTACCTCGTGTTTCTTCCTCCTGGCTTTGCTTTTGGTCTTTAAAGATGACTTCTACTTTGCATCCCTGACCATGAGCGTCAAGGTGGAGCAAGGATTCCTCAGTCAGCCTTCTCTTGTTCCATTCCTTCTCAGCGCCTACCATCTGCCCTTCTTCCTCTTTTTCCTTTTCTCAGACATGTCTGTAAATCTTATCCTCCTGCCTAGGATTCTTGCAGCATCTGGTATGTGCTCATAAGCCAATAAATATTCAATATGAGTCTCATGATCCTCTCCGGTTCTTCGCCTTCACCTGAATGGAACCAAGCCATGGTTTTGAATATGCAGCTCTTTCTAATGTCAAAAGTCAATTTTTAATCCCTTTCTGTATCGCGTGACTTGTAGGAAGGCCTTCTCTCCCTCGGGCCGAGGGGCCTCCAGGGCTGTGTTACCTTGGTGATTGCATTCTGGTCCTGGGTCTAGTTCTTAGTTTTTTAGTTCAGGCGCTTGATATTCTTGGTGTCCACGTTGATTAGACTCGGGGATGCTGACTCACGCCCACAGAGCTCAGATGAGGCATGTGATAAAATCAGAATACGGATTTATTAATTTACATCATGGCATGTAACTGGTTAGTGGATCGGATCCTCACGTTTGTCCGCACAGGACATTCTCTCCCTGTCGGCAAGATACATGGGAACCAAATTATAATCAGAAGGTTGTTTAGTGAGCGGGGCGTCAGAGCAAGGAAAGTTAATTACAGCCCATGATTAGAATTTTTAATGGTATCCAGCTCTAATGTCATGACATATCCAATTCTAGAACCAGAACACACCTGCCAGCCAGCCAGCTGATCACTTGCGCCGGCTAGTCAGGGTTGCCTTGGACCAGACAATACCCCAGGAGGCATGACAGTGTTTGCCGCTGGGACTTGCCTCTAACCTCCTCACCCCCAAGACTGAGATGGTCCTTTACATTCCTTGAGGGAAAGAGTTCCTAAACAATACATAAAAAGCCATGAAGAGGATACCTGTGACTATAATAAGATTAAGAGCTTCTATTCAGTAATATACACATAAAGAAAGTGAGAAGTTATAAACTAGACGATGTTCACTACATTCATATACACACAACAAAGGGCATATGAAGAAATCCCACAGATCAGTAAGAAAAGCACAAAGAACCAAGAGAAAATGGACAAAAGTTGTAAGAAAACATTTCACAGAAGAGGAAACGTGTGTCTGATAAACATATGAGGAGAGGGTTACTGATCGAGGACCTACGAGTCAAGACTGCAATGAGATGCCATTTTATACTCTTTCAATTTACAGAAATCAAAACGGAGAGGAGGAGGGTGATAGGATCTCTTGTCTATTACTGGTGGGCATGTGATTCTGTAAAGCCACTTTGGAAAATAATTTGTCATTACCTTCTAATGTTCACACCTATGGTCCAGCTGTTCCACTCCAGGCATAAACCCAAGAAATTCTTGCACATAAACAACAGGAGACATAGAGGAGAATGTTTACAGCAACGCTGTTCATAATAGCAAAAACCGAAAAATAATCCAAAAGTCCACCAGTGGGAGAATGGGTAAATAAAGCATGGTATTTTCACATACTGAAATATTATACAAGAGTCAGAACAAAATTTAGTATGATCTCCTTTCTAGAAAGTTCCAAATAACTGAGCAAAATGCAAGTAATAATTCCCTTTCAGGAAGCCATACAAAATTTGAAAAAATTGTAGGGAAAGGGAAGAAAGGATATATGCTCGGACCCCTTTTCCTGTTCAGTGTACCGATTCCCAGCTGCTGGGAGTGTTAGCTGGCAGCAGCTCAAGGCTCCCTCCCTCTCTGGAGAATTGCAGTTAGCCAAATAGGGGCTGACTCACACAGGAAGCTATGCACTTGTTTTCCCTATATCACCTCCCCAAATGTCAGCCAATGCCTGACTAACTTGAGGGCACAAACAGCTAATCTTTTGCCTCAATGTAGGGTCACACTGTGGTGCAATGTGGGCTCCAGAGCTCTGAATACCTTTTCCAGCTGATTCCACATCCTTCCTTAGCTTCCCCACCCCCCCATCCTGTCCTGCTTCTCAAACTCCCCCTTTCCTGAGAACTCCCTCAAAAAAAAAAAAAAAAATCACCTAAACAAAATCCTTTCTCAGGCTCTACTTCTAGGAAAACAGACTTAAGACAACAGGAAATGAAGAGCCTGGCATTCTGAGTGATGATTCCCTTGGATGGGGAGAGGCGGGGGATGAGATAGGGACCAGGGCCCTATGGTTAGCTTCAGGTTCTGTTTTTTCCAGGAATTTATGACTTAATTTGGGGGGGGGGGACTAATTCAGTAGCTAAATAAATCATAAAAGAGGGCCATGCATGGGTCAACGATGAGCACAACACTAGCCAAGGATTATGATTAATCTAGTTGTCTGTACCTGAAATCCAGTTTTAAAGATGTTTATAAGGTATGGATTTGAACACAGAAATGTTTTCCTATTCAGTATGCATTTACTGAACGTCTAGTTGTGCCAGCAACAGTTTTAGATGCTGGCAAGGCATTGGCAAACAAGAAGGCAAAATTCCTTCTTGCATGGAATTTCATTGTCGTTGGAGAGACAGAAAGTACTCAAGAAAACAAATTAAAAATTTTAATTTGGTTAATGAGAGCTGCCATAAATAACAGAAAACGGGCTGCTGGAAGGACAGAGATGTATGGTGGAGGGGCCTCTCGATTGGGAAAATTCGAGAAGATGGTGTTTGGGCTTGTGGTATAAAATTTTTCTTAACTCTCTTTTTTGCATTCTTTTTGGACTCCCCAAGCCATATGAAAAAATGTAAGCTAGATGTTATAATGCACATTTTATAGGCAGAAGATCTCTCAAGAGTGGTGTGTCTCTTGCCCAAGACAAGTAATTACTATTTTCTGTTCTCTAAGTGAAGACCCCACCGAGAAAGAGAAAACTTGAGCCATGAACATTCATGGACACAACTTAAATTTTTGAGACACATTTAAGCTTGGAAGGCTTTTGTACCTCATCAAATAAGTCTTTACAGAATTTTCCACTATTAAGGACACCAATGAGGATGGAAAAGGGACAATCTGTTGATGGGGAAAGTATTTTGAGTTCTCTCTCTCTCTCTCTCTCTCTTTTTTTTTTTTTTACAACACTGGGGGTATGGTGGGGTTTGCTGAGTCATCCCCAAATCTTACACCCAGTCTTGTTGGGGTCCAAAAACAGACCTCGGTGACATGACTGACAGGATGAGGGATACAGTCCATGGCTATCAATGGGACTAGCTGTCATCTCTGTGCTGTCAGCTTGAATCCAGAGCCACCAATGGAACTGCAGTCACTTGGGAGCTGACACACAGACCACATCCACTTCTGTCTTCTGGTTTGTAAATGGCGAGGAGTGGGAGGACAACCCAACTCCTTCGCTTGGCCATGTGTCCTTGATTCCTTGATGGAATCTCTGGGAGCTCCAGTTTCCTCATATTTAAAACGAGAACAATGGGAGTATTTACAATAGTGTCTTGAGAGTATTCAGGAAGCTGATGTGTTAAAGTATGGAGCACCTAACCTGGCAGGAGCAGTTCTCATTGTGTGTTAGCCTGAATCATTTCTCTCACCAAGTGGTGGACATTCCTTCATGAATCAAATGATTGGCGTTTCCCCTAACGTCCTTTAGATTTTTCATACGACTTAATGACAAAAATCTCAACAGTTCACAGAAAAGCCCTTGTTGGATGCAAAGTCATTTTTAGTATTATTTGGGTTTTGAAATATTGGGGTTCTGTCTCTGGGAGCTTTCCCATGTTAAGTAGATATTGATGCCCCTTTACTGGGTTAATACAAAGAATTATTGCCTGAAGCCTTCACAGGTCCAGCTTTCAAGCACAACCATGCCAAGTCTATGAGGTCACCTTAGATTTTTACGGGGCCCGGGAAGACCCCACTGTAAACTTCTTGCAAATGAAATTGAGGGTATGTTCCAGCTCTGGGATGTCCTATGGAGGTTGCCCTTGTTTTATGTCACTATACTAGGATCAACTATGAAGAATCATTTGTATTATCATCGTCATCCTTATCTTTCTGTTTGATGAGTTCTGGACTTTTGCCAAATCAGACAGCTTGCAAAATAAATTCATTCTACTATTTGTATTGCGCCTTAAATCATGAACACCAGCTGTTTCTTGTATTTGAAGTAAAGCTCCAGGTGTCCTGGGGGCATCCAGAGAGCACAGTTTCTTCCTCCTCCATGATGTATAGGTACTGCGGGGGAGCTGGG